GAGTTTTGAATTAAACTGTTTAAACTTTTCATGTTGTCATGGATGAAATCGACCCAGGTGTTAGAGTTCATTTTGTGTTTAATAGTATGTTTCTGTGATTCTTATGGATTAGATCAATCAGTCTTATTTAAATTATTATTTTGACCCACCTGGTGCACCTGTTTACAATCTGGAGTTGTTGAGACATAATGCATTATCTTTTACATTCGTAGTTTAATTTTCTCCACCTTGATGTCACACTTTCAGGACATTATTGACTTCTTCTCCAAGAATATGGTTACAGAAAGCCTGGGTGCAATATGCAATGCCCATGTTGTCCATGCTGACCTTAGTGAATATGGAGCACTGGACGAGAAGTGCATTAAATTGGCAGAGCTTGCTGCAACAGCAGTTGATTTCCCCAAAACTGGAAAAATTGTGAATATGCCATCTGAATATAAACCAAAAATGTATCCTGACTTTATGGGTAAAGAAGATTTTCAGTCATACAAGTCAAAAAAGATTTTGGGTAAGTTGTATCGCCAAGTCAAAGATGCCTGTGATGAAGGTGAGGCTGCAACATCTGATTTAACATTTCCCTCAAATAAAATTCCTTATGACACAGACCTTGAGATACCTGGTTCCGAGGTGTTCATCGAGCATGCATGGAATACCAAGTGTTCGTACGATGGACAGTTGAATGGTCTGTTGGGACAATACAGAGTGAACAGGGAAGAAGAGGTTGTTACTGGTCATATATGGTCAATGCCCAAGTACAGTAGCAAAAAACTCGGTGATCTGAAAGAGAGGCTTAAGCATGCTTATAATAACCTACGAAAGGAGTTTAGGAGAGTTTTTGAGCAAATGGAACCTGATTTTGAGCTCCTTACTGATGATGAGAAGAATGTTATGTATGAAAAGAAGGCTTCGGCATGGTATCAGGTAACATATCACCCTACTTGGTTGCAAAGGTCGCTGGAGTTACAACTTCCAGATGGTGTTGAGGAGACAGTTATGTTAAGCTTTGCTTGGATTGCTGTTGATTATCTTGCCCAGATCAAAATTAGGTGCAGGGGGTCGTGGAATCTTGACTCCTCAAAGCCAATTGATTCGCTTGGGAGATACCTTTCTGATAAGATATGAGTGGTAAAGAAACTATAAGCTCTATTTTTTTTTTCCCTATATCTTTGATGGTGTTTGTTTTTTCGATGTAGTTTGCTATTTGCATAAGTGATTTATGCTAGCATGGTTGGGGATTCAACTGCTTAAAAACTTTGTGCTTTCACTAGTGGGGCCACATGGTGAGAAATTTTACTCAAGAAAAATACTGAAGCACCATTCAATTAACACAATATCTTTCCACGATAAATGACTGAATTGATATGTTACCTCTACTTGAACAGTTAAACAAAGTAAAAACTCTGATGTTGACTTATCTTCTAGAAAATGCTAAATTGTTTGATGAACTAAGTCATTTTTTTAGTAATCTCTAGTTAGATGCACTTCGATTAACTAGTGTTTACTTCTTTAGTTTGTTTATGTCCCCATGAGCTAGTTATTTTTTGATACAGCCATGCGAACATGCCAGCTTTATGTAGATTCCTTACCTTACCAAGCTGTAATAAAGTTTCCATCATGAACTAGCATCTTCTTACCATAGTAACAGAATAGAATTCACTGGATTCCAACAGCAGATCGGAATCTTTCATTGTGCTTGTGTGCATTATGTTTTGCACTAGTCAAAGTTGTTGCTTTTGATGTCATAATATCACTTCTAGAATCAAGTTGCTGCTTGATCCCACAAAATCCTTCGACATATGGGACATGTTCCATCCTTTAGTACCCCACATTATGCATCAAATTTCCCTTTCTCTGGAATTATTGCTGATAGCTTATTTTGTGATGTAACTGGAATTAATTTTTTTTTTCAAATAATAGCAGAGCTCATAGTTTTTGTTGCTGGAAATTCTTTATTTCAACATAAAGACGTTGAAACTTGTAATTTCTTTAAATAATTGGGCTTTAACAGAGTGATACAATTATGAAAAAATAAATGAACAGGTCGGTTGACCTAATGCAGAAAATCGGTGAGCTTGACACACTTGCATCTGTGCATCACAATGAGGTTTACTGGTTTACTTGACTGCTGGTTCTACAACAGGCTTCCTATGTCAGGGATATCTTATTTGCTGATGGTCCTTCCTCTTTACAGTACCTGATGGCATCAAAATCTCAATAGGCATTGTTTCTTCTTTACTTGGAAGAATTTGCAACTTCTCCATTCCTGCTTTGTTCTCGTGACTTTCGTTGCAGTTTACTGCAAGTGGTGGAGGAGGTCAATCTGCTCTTACTCTCAGTACTCTAAATAAACTCATATCTGCATTACTCAATACTGAGACAGTATGGTCTTTCCAGCTCAACATAAAAGATTGTGTTGTTTCATTTTGCTGTTAAAGCTAGGTGGCTTTGTATGCTCAAATTAGTGAAGTTTGAAACTTTGGTGCAGCACAAGTGATGAAGTCTTATTATGTAACTTATAGCCTGTTCCTCGTATTGTACTATTATTTCTAAATTGAGAGTGAAAAATCCATCTCATTTTCCAAGTCTGGTACTTTTTCAACATGTTCCCTTCCCCCAATCAATCCCCGCCCCTTCCCAACCAAAAATATGAACTGGATGTTATTTGATGATGATTTTGCCTTCATTTATTCTTTCAACTTCTTTTATACTTTGTATTGCCGAATATCAAGTGGAGATGCAAGGGTAAAGGTGCAAGGTTGTAGTCTTAAACTAGAGTATTTGCAGAAATAAACGGTGTAAGTTATCATAAATTGATTTTTAATCTTGCTAAACATGTATGTAATCTGGTGTTAACACGTTTACACTTTTACAAATGGGGTTACGCATACAAGTATTTCATTCTAATCTGTCAATAGATTCTGTTAATCCTGGATTGATCTTCTCAAAATGGAAGTGAAGTTGAAGAGTCGCTGGAATGAATGGAAGTTTCATGAAAATATGTATCATTGATCATCTAGAAAATTGATTCATCAGAGTCCTGCGTCCTTCTTGGCTGTTGCAGTTCTATTACTTGGGCATTTGCTTCTTAAAAAAGACCAAAAAATTCAGGGTCAAGAAGGTTTGGTAATCTGCTATCTGATCACCATCTACTCCAAGGCTGTATCAAACGTTGCTCACTCTTTTATTTATTCAGGCAAAGTAACAAATTCTACAGCTCTACTTAGAAGACCAACAAACAATGGACAATTGCAGTTTTGAAGTATGCTATATGTACTATCTCCTTTATTAAAAGAAAAAAAAATGAAGAAAAACAAAAGATTATTTTAGTCAGGGGATGGCACTCAGGCCACTACTCACTAGTGGTCCATATTCTTTTGAGTGAGTCATTTAGGTACAGATGAAGAACAGAGTCACAGACAAAAGAGTGCAGTTTCTTTCTGAGCCATTTGCAAATTGCAATGGCTGTGAATTCAAAGCCATAGATAGCTCTTGCGCTCTGCAAGATAATGATGATGCAGCCTGTAGGTGGGCCGACTAATGTATTTGTCAAACTTTGCAATTTATTGTTCATATGAATTTTTCACATTGTTGAACACGTTTGAAATAATCAACTCCCTCTTGGGGTGATGGCTACCATATTAATTGTAGGATGGAAGGTCAAGATACAAATTTTGTGTTCCATCAATGTGTTTCTATATGAAATTTGTTTTAAATCCATACGGATATGTAATACACTCGTTTGATCTGATGATAGTTCAGTTATGGTTAGGTTCTCCCGACTCAGTTAGATCATCCATAGAGTAGGTTCCCCCTCCTTTAGGAGTAGGAGACCGTTACGCCAAAAAAAAATAATAATAAGAACACGTTTGAAATTGTTCTTTTATATTTCAGTTTCTGATGAAAACTCCCAAATTTTCTGGCTATATTCCTCGAATATAATTTGAAGGATAAAGATTATTTAAAAATAAATCAGTTTGATGAAGGAATCGACAAGAATTGGCAACGTTGGAAAGTGGGAACCAATAATGGCAGGTATACCACACCACACGTGAAATGTCAAACTCTGACCGTGAAAACTTATCGGTCTTAGGGTCTGTTTGTCTGGATTAAAAATCTTTTCCAAAAAGTATTTTCTTGAATTTCCATTTTTCTGGCTGCAAAGGGACTCAGTTATTATGAAGTGGTTTACATAGCCTAGTTTAAAATGAACTCCTAAATTAGAGTATGGAAGTTGATTTCCCATAACTACGACGACTTATCGGTCTTTTCACCACTTGGTTATTGTATCGAACCATTAAGTAATTCATAGAAATCAAATCACGAGTAATATCTTGTTACTATAAATTGACTGTTCACTTCCTCTTTCTCATGTTTTTTCTCTATAGTAATTTTTTTTTTGCACCGCATGCAGATACATTAATGGATTATAAAAAATTGCAATTCTAGATTGAGCTTGCATTGAGAAGTTTTGGAGAAAGATAACTTGAAAAAAGTAACGAGACTGGAGGAACACTTCTAGAGGAAGAGTTAATGAGCATCATTCTTCAATTGCTAATTTCTAGTAATGGTTAAATCCATGGTAACCATATAATGTAAGTTATCCACCCTTTATTAATACGATATACAATTGGTTTGAAAAATTATGAGTCCTAATTCTGATGTTTAATTTGACTTTTTGGGACTTAGAAAAATTTGGATTAAAGATTGCCTCTGATGATTGAAGAAGTAGGCAGGTACTGTAATTGTTAGTAGCAATTAACGAAAGAGAAATCCGGAGATGAAATTATTGTGTCGCATTTAAGGTTTTTGAAACTTTTTCTCAAAATTACACCAGACACCAGAAAATGAAGGGAACACTAGACATACTTTGGAAAAAGATTTTCACCGAAAATGTTTCCTCGGGGAAAACATCGTATATCGAACCAAACAGACCCTTACACCAAATTCTAATCACCAGCAGGCCGAAGCCAACCATTGTTCGTAGTAGATGCTTACCATTATGCTACCTAACTCCCACGAGAAAAAAATTAAAATAAAAAAATTCCCTAACCAACTGAACGACTTTGCTCATCATCCAAAAAGAGGAGACAAGAGCATCATCATCAATATCATCACCATAAACAAAAAGAGAAAACAGAGTAGACCGAAAGGAAGAAAATCATCATCCATGGCTTCATCATCATCATCATCATCATCTGCAGTAAAGACAGAGGCAGTTGATGTTACACTAGCTGCACTTGGATTTGTGTTTGAAGAGCTTTCAGCTGACAAAGTCTCAGGCCACATTCAAGTGTCCCTCAAATGCTGTCAGCCATTCAAGGTCCTGCATGGAGGAGTCTCAGCTCTGATTGCAGAGTCGTTGGCAAGTATAGGAGCCCACATGGCATCCGGGTTCAAAAGGGTTGCTGGGATTCACCTTAGTATCAATCATGTCAAGAGTGCTCATTTGGGAGACCTTGTCTTTGCTGAGGCTACTCCTGTTAGTCTTGGCAAAACCGTTCAAGTCTGGGAAGTGAAGCTCTGGAAGATTGGTACTAGTAGAAATACCTTCTCTAATTCATCAGAAGAAAGATCTTTGACTGCTTCATCAAGAGTTACTCTTTTGTGTAATTTGCCTGTCCCAGAAAATGCTAAAAATGCAGGCGACAATCTGAAGAAGTATGCTAAATTATGAATCCCACTTCTTGAAGTTGTACATCATGTCTTGTACAATCAATAAGAAACTCAAATCATTTGCTGCACAATCATTGCACGGCTATTTGCAGAATTCGCAGATATCTGAAGATTTTGGGGAGTATCATGAACCCCTTCCTTCATGATGTAACTTATAGTCAGTAGTCACCTCATGCTCTGTGCAGGTACCTGTAGTTGGGAATCTCTTGAAAAGTGAATGAAAGAAAGCTAATTTTATAAGTCCCCAGTTAGAATAAGTTGGAATTAGAGGAATTGAAGTGATTTTATTGTATGCAAATATGTCTTGTGATGTTACTATGGCCTTGTCCTGCCTCCAAAAATTCTTAGTAATTAAGAAGATACACCTGGTACAATCATCCTTAGGTATTAAATTTTTCAAGGTTCCTGCATATCCTTTACTCCAGTAGTTTCTATGTCTGTGTTGCTTTAACGTTGTACTTTTACATCTCAGAATGTTCGAAGCTTCTGCCGCAATATGTACTTCAATCATAGAAAGAAAAGTTCATAACTTGGGCTGGCTGTAAGAGAACTTTCTAGACATCTTAAGGCCTTTCAAACTGAAGTTTAATTTCTGGATTTTCAAAACTTTCTGAAGTTTGAATTTTCAAGAAGATAACTCATAAGAAATGTATGTGTTAAGCTGTTTATGTCCTGTCAGTACATGAGAAGTCAGAAGTAATGCGTTCTTGGTTTGTCGGTTAGAAATCGTGAGCACCATTGTATTTAAATGGTTCTTGAACTAATACATGGCTTGGGTAAAACAGCCTATTAGATTTCAAAATTCGAAAATAAATTTACTGAAGATGCTCCTTCCCCCAACAATTTTCAAAACAGGGATTATAAAACAAAACTAAATCCAAGTTCATCTTTTTTAAGTAGCCGCTAAGATGCATCCCAACTTTCAAGAAGTTAAACCATGGCAAAGCATCCTTAATATGCCTAATTGGACTGCAAGATGGAAGCAAAAATCTCATAATAGGCAGCATCTTGCTTAATAGCGATTCACAACCCGTTATCAGGGACTGGTTTTTAAGAGATTTTTAGAAGATACTTGCCGTGTCATATTGCTAGAAATCTTGTTGTAACAGTTCGCTATTGAAGCCACATTATCTTATCACAAGCATGTGCATCGACAAATTCTTTCTTGGATGAAACGTTGTGAATGGCATCTATTTACCATCTGTTTACAATTTTTTTTTTCCATTTATAAGGCAGAATGATCCAATCTCATCGAATCATCTGACATTTTTCTTTGGCTCTTTACTGCTAACACTACACTGTGTTTTATTTTAGGATAAGAATTGCTGTCTTATGTCCTTAACAAGTAATCACCTGAACCTGTGTTTCCATATTACATATGGTTGGAGAATTGGAGGTTCTGGAATTGAAGTTATGTGCCATGGTGCGTCAAGACATCAACATGCTGCCAGGATAAGAGTCGCTGAAACTCCTATAAAATTTGGTTGAATTGTTATTGCCCTTAGCTGACCTTTTGGATGTATGGAGGACTTCCATAGCTGCTTTGACATCTTGTTTCCACTGTTCTCACTTTCTGATGTTGTTATAGAAGTATCCTAGTATGCTATGTTAAAACAGGGACAGGTAATGGTACAACAATTCATATATTGCTTGCTTGCCCCTTTGCTTGATTTATATCCCTACATGGATTATAATATGCTTATCCAGATTTTAGTGAAGACTCTCATATCTATAGTTCTAAACTTTCAAAAAGCAGCTGTCAAGTAGCTAGAGGATTTCTCACTGGAACAAGGCACAGGCAGACCACGGCTTCAGAAAGATTAGATAAGAATGATGTTTGGAGATGGCTATTCCCAAGCTGTTATTTCAGTTTTCTGTCAAATTATTCCCCATTGCAGCAGGATTAATACCTGCTAGTCACTTATGCAATGTGGTTAATTTCACTTTTGGCTTGCTAGAGACAACATCGTAGACAGGAGCATGGTTGTTTGCATGTCTGCCTCGTTTTACCCTTTTTCCTTCAAATGACACGAATGCTAGGCAATTGTCTGCCAAGTAACATTCAAATTCAACTTGTTTGGAATGTAAAAATAACCAATATACAGAAGCGCAATAAATAGATTGATAATAGAGATAGGTTGCTGAGTCCTTTTGCCGGAGTTAGCTACTAGGCTTCTGTTACTTATTTTGTGTTTGCTTTCCAAATTTTGCATTTACTTTCCAAAATCGAATTCGCAGGTGCAAGAACATTTTGGTAGCGGAGACTGTTAATCATCCTGTATATAAAGATAGAAATTGACAGCTCTTATTATATTCACATGTAGTTTTACAGGCCTCAATCCTCCAATATGTACAAGCATATTCCAGGATATAGTATCCAGCTTTGTGATTATGGTAATCTGACAAACTCTGATCTTGGAGGAAGCTAAGATGTCACAGCAATCTTCTGATGCACAAGTGATTTTTTCTTTGCAATCTTAACATTTTTTGAGAAATTGTATCTTATATATGCAAATAAAACTTCTTGATAGATTATCCAAATAATCATAATTACCTTTCTCTGTACTCCACTTCTGCTCTTTTCTGTCCCCTGCTTTGGCGTGGAGTTTTCTTGACTAATAATTATGAATGAAAGTGCTAACAAAAACTGGTTATAAAAAACTGAGAGGTTGCAAAAGAGTAACTACACAGATTTTTTGTTCAAGTCTGGTGATTGTATGTATCTCACCACTCTTCAGCACATGGTTTAATTGACTGATTAATTGAGGTTATGAACCTTTTTGCCTAATAATTAGCAAAAAGAATAAGAACTGCACTTGTTCTATTTTTAATACCTTCCCCTTCATCTGATACTGGCAAGTTTAGCATGCTTATTTCTTGCACATTGCAGATCAAGATGGCAAAATTATCATGAAGGAAATTGCTCAAATATTGAAACGGTGATGCCACTTCGATTCTTTGTCAGCAGGGAAGTACTTTCACAATCATTTCCTTCTCAGATGCGACGTTTAGTTGCAGATTTTACATCAACATTGAGGACCAGGGAAAGCATCCATGAATTGTACCTATCTTTAAGAACATTGCTTAATTTTGATTCTGAATCCATGAGCATTTGCTGGTTGCTAATGGTCATCAGGTCACATTGCTGGGAAGCCTGGTGGACAAAAATTACCATTCTGTGGCTGTCTTTAACAACTGAGCGGGTACATCCTCTTGTCAGCTCAGCATATCATGTCAAGTTCAAGCTGAGCAATAGCAACTGTTATGATAGGTTAAGGAACACAAGCTAGAACTCATGATTCCATATTACTATAGCCTATAACTGCTAAGTGACCAGAGGAAATATACCGTCTTCAAATGGCAAACCCTCGAATGAAGTCCTCGTTGCTTGGTCATGAGTTATACATGGAAATCCCACATGACATAAATGTTCTTGTTTTAAAAATTTTCTTAACCAACTATTGCACAATCAGTTTCTGCAACATGATATTTTGACATGGGTTCATTATTTGCACAGGGATAGCAATTCTTGCGTGGCTACCACGTTCAGGAACCAAAGGAGGAAATGATTAACAAAGTAATGATTGTATCTACAGAATCACGCTGCATATTTAATCGAATTGATCCAAACCATTACAACACATGTAAAAGCAACATTTGCAGCAATTCAACATCAAGATTATGATATTGCTTTGATGTGGCCTGCTAATATTAATTTTCCTCATGCTGCAGTGTCACTGGGCCAATTGATGTTCTTAAAATTGAGAAGATGGGATGACTAAAAATGACTTCTGACAGAGTTTGATTGGAAATTGATTGAACAGCATCAAGAACACAAATGCAGCTTCTTGACTCTTGTGCCAGCTAGATAGCACAAGTCTTCATCTTTTCTTTTCTTTCCTGCTTTTCCCTGATGCAGTTTTAATCAAATTCCTTGTCCTAAAGTCCATGTTCATTGAATAGCAAGATTTGTATGCGTGAGTTGGAACTGCTTTCACAAATCCATAGCACAATTATCCATGCGTTTTGCCTCCTGAGCACCTTGATTGGTCCTCAATGTATTCAATTTCAGCCCAAACCCAAAAACAGAAGGAAGGGGGTTGGAAAAAGGAAGAAAAGAAAAACCTAATGGTTCATAATGCTGTGAATCTGTCCATTTACTTTGGCCCCAATTGATTTTGTTTATCTTTTCTGTTTCAATCAGAAAATGTGAATCAACTTTTTAAAGTCAAAGTATGTTTGGTGAGGCATGTGCTTTAAATTGATTATACAGGTAAATATTGATTCTATGAATAACAAAATTTTCAAAGTTCTTCTCAGCTGATTGCATTATAGTCATAATATTGCATCACTTTACAACTTGTTTTTTCATATTAGAAGGTGTGGATCTGATTTAAATATTTCAGATCATGGTGAATTAACCGACCTGGTGTTGTTGATTTTTTTGGGCATAAACTAAGAAACAACACATTAGTGTTGCAAAAAAAAAAAAAAAATCTTATAAAAGACTTGTATTGAAACTGAAAATAAACTTATGTTATTGATTCATCAACTCACCATTTATAGTGAGTACATAAAACAAACTAACAAAATATCCACCTAACAATTATCCAAAAAAAATCTCAACAAAACATAATTTTCTACTAGCAAATCTTAGGTAAAATATCTGTTAACAAATCAACATGCAGATCTTGGTTAATAAATATACTTATTCTGCTACTAACTAAATTATTTTGATACGAAATATAATCTAGTGAAATCTGTAAGAAAAGTTGGCGTATTTCAACAGTTGTCTTACAACTGATTACAACATATGTAACTTTTCCACACAAAATAGGATCAAATGGACATATTTTGCAAGTCTTGAGAGCAAATTTGAAATTACAGGCACCAAAATAATAGATCGAGGAGGAAAGTGTAATTTTATGCAACACAAAATTGATCATCCACTGTTTTTGAGACCAAAATTGTGGGCAAATAGTTGTTAGTACCTCCACATCAATTTCTTCAGCTGCTGCAGCATGTTTTAATTAGAAAAACATATACTATAATTAATCCATAAAGCAATAACAAATATCAACCACATCATATAGATTTTCATCTCATCTCTACCTAATTGTTGAACTCAAACAATAGAAAAGATGTGCACAGATTATGCAGTGGCAAATTGACTGCTTTGAAAATGGCTAACTCTTGACATTAATGAATAACCAAACCAACCACCAATAAATCTACCCATTTCATGTCAGCTTCAGTCCTTAAAGACGTTCGTGGAAGTTTTAAGAAACCCCCCAGTGATTGTTAGCCACATGGAATATTGTCATCCAGAGGCAGAAGTTGACTTGAATGCAACAACTGCTGCTGAGGGAACCCTCAACATCCTCTCTTCTTCTTCTTCTTCTCTTCTGGGAGACCTATAAAAACATCTTAATTTGATGTAGATAAACAGCGACATGCATCATGCAAAGACGACTGAATGTTTCTACATACACTCGCGCCACATGTATACCCACCAAGTATTTAAACAAAGGAAAAAAAATTTTGTGACATTTAAGTTTTAACTATGGAGTTCAAGATTTGATCAATGCGTCTTTTGTGTCTCTAAGCTCGTTGACGGCACAGCTAGATGTAACTCTTACAAAAGTAAAGACCACATCTTCCCATGCATCTCTTGACGTTTAAGTTGTTAGTATTTTTGGGAGCAGCATTGCATGTTTTTTTTTGGCTCTAAGCCTGTAATAATATTTGTTGGACTACGAATGATGACCATGCAAATGCATGCATGGTCATCTTAAGCACACCTGTTGATAAAACAATTTGCGACCTAGTTTATCTGACAAAACCTTCTTATAACTCCTGAAAAATACATAGGTTAGGTTTCAGGGTATCAGAATGTCTGAACTGGAGGATGATATACACAACTTGACAGTGTTGTTTCATATGTGCTTCTTTTGTCTAGTAAGTAAAGATAACAATCATGTAAGTAGCAAGATTAGTTCGTATGCCTTAGGCATGTGTTAGTACGTGGAATGGATAATTCCCCTGCGTCAACGTATACCTTTGCTCACAATTGTAAAGTTTACAACATCAATAGAATCCAATTATCATCCCGGGAGAAAAAATACACTTTTTTTTATTGAGAGAATATATATAAACTTTTGTCACATCATCTACTAAGTCGATTACATCTAATCTAAGGGCAAATTTGTATGAAATAGAACTTATGAGATTCCGTTCGCATCCACCGGATGCATCATGGGCCGTCTTAGAGTGAGGTGGGGAGTAGCCACAGTCCCAAAATTTAAACAATTGAGGAATATTTTTTTAAAAAAATATTCTTTATAAGTTTTAGATTTACTACCACAGAAACTTAACATATGCTTATGTTGCAATTCATCTCCTTAACATAATATATTTTCTAATTCCTGTCTATGAAATGCATCATCTAACATTAAATTTGAAGTTTTCCTACAAATAATGAAATAATAAAAAAACTGTCCAATAATTTGGGAACATGTCACTTTTTACTAAATCCCACGTACACGTGCCTCATTACCGCAACCACTGGATTGTGGTAGGCAAAAAATGGCGTTAAAAAAAAATGAAAACTCAACTTTATTTTGTTGTTTGGGGGTGGGGGGGGGTTGTTTTGTGCGTACGGAAATTGATATGCAGTCATTTAATTTGGGTTATCAGCTTGGTGGCCATAATTCATCATCATGCTTTAAAGTTTAAAGGAAACAGCCACCTAATTTCGTTGGAAGAGTTCAATCTTGTTAGAGCCTGGACCATCAACCGCCCAAAGCCCTTATCTTATATTCTACCTTTTTTGAAGTTTTCAGGTGGTCATGATCACAGGCACATTTTAAGGATTACTACTATATATGATATGCCATTTTCACCAGTTCTTGTTATTGGGTCAAATAGCAAATTATCTCCACCAAAAAAGCATGAGGGTCTCTTTTTTTTTTTTTTTTTACTACATTATTAAGTGCATCAATCCTAGTGTGTGAGGAAAAATCATGTGTAATATTAGCCCTTGACCCTCCGGGCTCTATTAATCCTGGTTTTTTGCAAGGGAAGAACTATAGACAGTGCATGAGTCATTTTGTTGGTCTTAAATCTTGGAAAGTTGTCGTTTAATATTGTTGAAAACTTATGATTAATGACATTATTACAAAAGAGATCGATGTGAAGCCAATATAATTAAGAAGAAGAAAAGTAAAGAAGATATAAGAGGTGGTCAATTTCCAAAGGAAAATCAGTATAGAATCTCTTGCCAAAATGCTATTCTGGTTCCCAAGTGTCCCCAGAGGAAGAAAAGAACCCCAAATAAAAAAGGGCTCAGGCCGAGGTTGATAAAGGCAGGTAAAAGGAGATACAAGTAGCTGCTAGCTATCTGAAGAAAGCAATCTATGACTTGAAAATTCAATTTCATTGGACCGAGTAAAAAGTAAAGAAAAGAAAAGAAAAGAAAAGAATAATCCTGTTATGATAAAGAAATGAAAAGCTTCTGATGATTCTTCTCTTAACAGTTAACAGTGAACAGGATGATGAAGGCTGAGCTTAAGCAGTAGTAATTGGCATTGAATGCGATATGGACTTGGGAAGGCAATTGACAGTTGTAAAGGAAGTTTCGTCTAAACGTACGTACCACATTTGTATCAGAACATGCATATTATTATTACCAGCATTAATTAACAAGAAGTCGACATCATCATCAGCTAAAGATCGATGCATATATTCTGATTAATTGTATTTGCAAATATATATATATATATAATATTTACATCAGCAAATACTTACGACATTACAGGAAGATTTTAATCACTACTTCTGTTACGGTAATGTCCTATTCAAGAAGATGCTACCTTAAGAAAAGGATTTAGAAACAAATTTAGGCAGCATCCCTGAAGTTTTGTAGTCAATTCAAGAGCAGCAAAATACAATGAAAACTACTTGTATTAATTATTGCTAATAGTAGCTTATATAATATTATCATCTGCTAATAACGGCCTTTTAAGGATTGGTGAGATACGGTGGTGGACAATTCCAGTTGAGCAGTTCTTCCACCATCTGCATCGCCACTCTATTCTCTTCATCCATCCCAACTCCAGTTTCATGTTGATCAATAGCAGCAGTACCAGAAGAAGTCGTGGATGATCCTGATGATGAAGAAGTGGTGGTGGCGGTTGTGGTGGAAGAAGAGGAGCATAATGAGGCTTGTTGGGTTGAATTTTGGTGATCTTTGTTTTTCCCAAGCTCAACTTTCAGTACCCAATTGGAGCCGGAATGACGACCTGTCCTCTTCTGCCACACCCCAATCTGGGAATTGTCAAGCCTCAGACAAGTGAGCGAAGGTGCTGGATCCTTGCAGCATTTCTTCAGTTTTGCACTCAGGATTTCGGAGAGGGACTCCGCA